TGAACTTTTTAAAGGACTATAAACGTGAACTTTTTAAAGGACTATAAACGTGGATTTTTAAAGGACTATAAACGTGGATTTTTAAAGATTTTTTAAAGGATATTAAAAGGGCCATAAACATGGATTTTTTTAAGGACTATAAACGTGGATTTTTAAAGATTTTTTAAAGGATATTTAAAGGAAAAAATTACTTACGCAATCTCCGGCTACTCCAGTGGGTTGCTGAAATCTCTAAGAGCTTTTCTCGTCACCTTTTCTGAGCGTTCTTCGTCCAACAACACAAAAACTACCACTGCTGATGCCATCTTACTTTATTTATAGCGACTTATTCCTTTTTTCATTTACTTTACTTTTACTGATATTTCAATGACAAATAAACAAACAACACATGTAAGTAACAACAGCTGTTTCGAACATTGGTTTTATTTACATTCGAAATTGACAAAACCAACTTGGTTTCATGACACCAAATGAAACCAACATTGGTTTACAAAAACGACAAGAAGCAAAACCGACATGGTTTCTGTGACAGCCCTGATTATCTTTTTGGCACCATTGGTTTCAACAGCTCACACACATTTGGTGTTTTGTTTCACATCTTCTATAATTTAACTACGAATCGACTTACAAACAAACAACACATGCAATTCAGTTAATTATACCCTCAGCCATATGGCTACAGAGGGTATATATCATTTGATACGGCCAAAACGTGCCTAGTCGAAATAATGGTTTTAGAACCTAGGTCTCTTTGGACCAAATCCGTTTCAGAACATTTGGAGTCGATCTAGCGATGTCCGTCCGTCCATCTGTCTGGCTGGCTGGTGCGTCCGATAACTCTTGAAAGGAGTATCCGATTTCATCGAGTTGGAGATGGGCAATATCGGTCCACTCCTTCTGGTACCTCCCCCACAAAAGGTCGAAATTTTCAAAAAATATATATTTTGCACAGAAAGAGAAAGGATAATCCAACTTTGCAAATCCTAATATTTGCGTCAGTTCTAGGTCAGGTACAAAAATGGATAATATCGATCCACTCCATCAAGTACCTCCCCCACAAAGGGTATAAATTTTGAATAATTACAAGTCTTATAAAATGTGATGTAAGAATCCGATTGTCTTAAAATTTCACACATCCCAATATTTTCATCAACCGAAGATCTGGTGTTAAGATGTATCGGTCCACTCCTTCTGGTTCCTCCCTCCACAAAAGTTCGAAATTTTGAATTAACGTCACACATCCCATAATTTTCACTAACAAAATATCCGCTGTGAAGATGGGATATATCGGTCCACTCCTTCTGGCACCTCCCCCACAAAGGCTCAAAATTTTGAATATCCCTGAAGCTCATAAAAAGCGAAATTAACATCCGATTCTATTCAAGACTTGGTACATCCCAAAATTTCCATTAACACAAGACAGTCCAAACCTAGCACGTCGCAATATTTATATCACATTTATTTAGGTCCGACACGAAATGGCCAAGATTGGCCACTCCCTTCGGAACCAACTGCATAAAGGTTTAAACATTTGAATAATCATAACAGAAGTCAAAATATTTTTAATAAGCGAACATTGGCTGAGGGTATATATCTGACGGCAAAAGCGACCGATATTTTTTACTTGTTTTATTATCCAAATAAGTGGTGAGTTAAGAAAGTTTCCTCCAATTTTGCAAAGAAGCTCATTTTTGGCTCAATGACAACGTAAATAAGCAGAATTATCGATATTGGAGTGAAGATCAGCCAGAAGTATTGCAAAACCTTCTAATGCATCTAGAAAAACTCAGAAAAAATTGGCCGAATTTACATAGACCTTGGGCGTTAGCATTGAAATCATATTCCCAAAAAATTTCAAAGGCCACAAACAAGGCTTGATTTAACTTCACATCGAACAACATTTAACATGTTTCACCTTCATCCTCATCATTTGCGGTGGTGTAGACAACAGAAGCACGAGCACAAACAGCCATTTAAAAAACAAGCGCTACGCATTCAGTATTCAAAATTACAAGATTTAAGGAGCATTGCAGAGCCCCTCACTACCTACAGTGGCAATTGCAATTGCATTTAAATGCAATTGGCTATTTTGTGCTGTGCCGCTGTCCTCATCGATCGGCAGCAACTCTTTTTTTTTTTTTTTTTGTTGGTCGAAAATGTATTGGATGAAATTTTGAAGCTCGTTTGGGAGGAGTTCTGTGTCGTATCGTCTTCCGAATGCAATGTAGCTCTTGTTTTGTCGATGCGATGGAATTTCCTATGTGACTGTGTGTAAAATTTCACAGAACATATCAAAGCGATCGATAAGTCACGTTTCTTGGGGCAGAATGACGTCGTTGTCGACAATGTGTGTTGTAGTTGTTGTTGTTGGCTTTTGCTATTGCATATTACGCTGTTGATGGTTGTTGCAGTTGTTGGGGTGTTACTGGTCTGGTTCTTCAATATATTGTCGCGTACACGTTGTCATTGTTGTTGTTGTACAATATGTATGTTATTGGCATTGTTGTTCGTTATGTCCAAAAAGGACATTTCAGTGGCGGCATTTTAATCTATGGATCACATGTCCGTCGGTGCAAAGGTTTATTGGAATACTTTAAGCTACCATCCATTTTGATTTGAAACGAATGGTTAGCTTTGACTGTGCGCTTGTATTATCCGAAAATAAACGTGGACCTACCTTCAAATTTATTGCCGAAAAAGTTTTCTACGCCTTGGAAATTATGACCAAGACCCTCGCAATAACTAAAGTCAGCGGTTATCTTGATTAAAGGGATTAACAGAAACGTGGACTTACCTTGATTTTTTAGTTTGTAGCTTTTCTACATAGTAGCAAGTAAAAAATCAGTTAAGTTGGGCCGGACAGAACTTTTTATATCCTCTACCATTTGGAAAGTAACTCATATAAAAATATACCTGTAATTCCCGAAATTCCAGTATTCAAGGAATATGCCTCACTTCTGATATTAGGAATGTCCGCTACAAATTTAAAACAATTCTTTAAAAGTTGGCTATGATCCTCAAAATACCGAATATCGAGATGAAAGGGCCATGGAAAAACGTCGACTTATATAGAAACTGTTGTATATAAGCAGTAGAACACACTATGTAATTCTGAAATATCTGGAAGTACCTTTATATGGGGCCTATGGGAAAACGTGGACCTAAATACCCCATATTCTGCCACACGGGGTAGAAACCGTTATAAACTCAAAAAGCCTATTTAAAAATATTACATTAGAAAATTCTGTTAAAAAATTGTCGCAATTCCGAAAATCGGGAGCAATTATATGGGACTATACGAAAACGTGGATCTACATGGAAGAAGTTCTGCTACAGAAGATAGAATAAATTATGAACTCCAAATACCGAATTTTAATCATCAAAATACCGAATGTGGGAAATACAATTATGTAGGGGCTATACGAAAACCTTGACCTATTTAGGCAATGTTTTGCAACCTGAAGTAGATCATATTATGTGCTCAAAATACTGAATTTTAAACTATTCCGTTGGAAAATGTGCCTAAAATCATCAAAATTTCGGATATCGGAAGGTACAATTATATGGAGGCTACACGAAAAAGTGGATCTATGTAGACAAAGTTCTGCCACAGGAGGAAGAACATGTTGTGTACTGTGTTGACCGATATAGCTCATCTTTGAACTTGACCTGACTGCAGACAAAAGGCAACTCCGTGCAAAATTTTCGCTTCCTATTATATGTCTAGTCTGATTACAACGGACGGGCGATTTTGGCTAAGTCGACTTAGAATTTAACGATGATCAAAAATTATATAATTTGTTGGGTCTAAAATGATTATTTCGAAGAGTTACAAACGGAATGGCAATATTAATATACCCTTCGTACTACGTATGTGGAGGGTTTTAAAACTCAAAACAAGTAAAAAACATTAAGTTTGGCCGGACCGAACTTTTAATACCCTTCACCTTAGGGCACATGAAACATTTGACCCACAAATACCAATTTGTAGACATATTCTTGAGAAAATGTGACAAAAATCATCAAAATACCGAATATCGGGAGGTACCACTATATGGGGCTATAAAAAGCGTGGACCTACACATACTATGTTTAATGCTAATTATGAATATATACTTTATGGGGTCCACGACAAATATTTAGGGATGTTACAAACGGAATGACAAAGGTAATATACCCTACTTTCCAAGGTGGAGGGTATAATAAAATGACAAATATGACCAAAACGTAAAAGTAATTAAGACCTTATATAGCAACTATGGCAATAAATGGTCCTATATTAAGGCCTTAAAAAGTCTGACCTTAGAACCCGAAACATTTTCGGGGGTTTGATATACAAATCGAGTACAATGAAATCCACTTGGAATGTTCTACAACCCAGACGGGCTTTTAGACTCTAAATTCTTATGAAAATTTGCACGAAATTCGAAAAAACAGCTTTATTTGTGGAAAATAAAAAGTGTTTTATATACCCGCCACCGTAGTATGGAGCGTATTAAAAATGGGCTATATAGGTCCACGTTTTCTTATATCCCCCATAAAACGGTACCTCCTTATATTCGGTATTTTGGTGATTTTAGAATGGAAACATATTAAATAAAAAAAAAACGACACATGGACTATTCACAGATTTATAGTGAAATTAATTCAGAATATGACTTCTTCTTTTTCCCAAACTGTGTTTTATATTCTGAATATCTGCCGTCTAGGAAAAAATTAGACTTTTGATAATATTTTCACTTGTTACCATCTCCATAACTGTTATGTAACTAGCTTCAGGTTTGAATTTGTTTACAAAATAATCCTCTTGTTGTTAACAGTAATATAGTTAAAGAAACTATATACCTAAAATGTAAGGAATATGAATCCGAAATTTTCAAAAATGTGGAACAGGTGGATCTTTCTCACGCGCCGTCACACGTGTTCTCTCTTTCAGCATTAATTATATAATCTGTACTTATTTTGGTTTTGACAATATTTCCTTTATTTTTCCTTTTCAGGCACAAAAAGATTCATCTACCCGATGATGAAGTACGATTTTATAATTGCGATCAATGCAAATTTAGGAGCAAGATCAAGAGTCACATAAAACGTCATATGCGTTGTCACAGTGGCGAGAAACCATATCAGTGCCCGTATTGCGATTTTCGTACCAATGTCTTGGAGAATCTGCGTAAACATGTCCTTAAAACCGATAAACATCCAGGAAAAAGTATGTACGAATGCAAAATTTGCGAAGAAACAGCTAAAGATGGTCAAACAGATGTCAAGGATGTATACAAAACGAACTCCTTTGCCGAATACCAGAAACATATGGGAAAAAGTCATGATAAATTTGTTAAGCCCGATACAATTCTATAAAATACATTGAACACAAATTTCAAATCATTGAATATCATCAAATAATTTCAGTTGGAACAATATCTTCATTTAAACAAGTTTTGAAAATTTAAAAATTATGTTCCTTTTTTAATACAAAATACATGTTTTAAAACACAACACCAATATTTTTATACACAATGTTTAATTGCAACAACACAATTTATTTTTTATTTATTTAGAAAACTGAAACATTTGCCATAACGGAAAAAGGAAGACACATTTAATAAGTAACAAGTACAAAAACAAAGTTCGGTATTTGATACCGTCCACCACCAAATTAATGGGAAGTTACGACTTCCACATTAAAATAGCTCAAATCGTGGTATGAGGTTATACAACATCTCAAATTGAAGCTACATGCACGCATCTTGATATATCGCATATAAATTGGTATACTGTGATTCAGATTTTTATGGTGAATACTGAAATCGTATAGACAATGCGCAAAAAATTTTGAAGCCGTTTAATTAATGTGTATTTTCGGTCTATACTATTATTCAACAATTTCAGATTAAAATATTAAAATTCAAATATATATGTACGTGTTTTTTTTAATTCGTACATTGACAACACACATCCATTAAAATATATTATTGGGTGCTCACTTGTCTTAAAAGAGAATAGCAGCAACCCAAGGTAGATCTAACAGGTAACCGCATCGGCGAATTGCTACAACAAAGCAACTTTTGTGGTACCCTCAAATGTCAAAATTGGCATCTAAGGCGAAAAACATAGATTCGCCATCGTTGCGGCAAATTTGTTTCAACCAATCAGAAACGAGGTGTTTGTTTACATTTTACTTTGTGTGCCTCTCGTCGTAAACGAACGTTGCAATAAAAGTTTTTATTGTAAAACAAATAAGAGTAAAATAAGTATTAATTGTTGTATTGCGATATTTTTTAAACCAAGAAACTTATAATGACTATATTTAACTGGTTTAAACCGAAAGTTTTCCGGAACTGCAAATGGCAAGAGTCCAAGGTAGATGTACTAGGTAATCGCATCAGCCCAGCTGACGGCACCATTAAATGTCAAAACAAATTGTTGTAATGAAGAATTCGCCCTAAATGAATGCAACAACAAATTTGTTTATGTTGTCTTCCCTAAAAGTACCTTTTTATAATATTTCAAATAATTTAAGAGCAAGTTAAGAGTGAAACCAGTAAAAAAATTAAAAGAAAATGAAGGAAGGAGGTTAGAATGGAGTGCAGCTTTAAGAATTAAGTTAGCCTCAACATCTAAGATTCCCAAAGCACATCACGGGAAGTAGTGCAAGAATTCGACTCTTGTCATTTGCAGTTCCGGAAAACTTTCGGTTTAAACCAGTAAAATATAGTCATTATAAGTTTCTTGGTTTAAAAAATATCGCAATACAACAATTAATACTTATTTTACTCTTATTTGTTTTACAATAAAAACTTTTATTGCGACGTTCGTTTACGACGAGAGGCACACAAAATAAAATGTAGACAAACACCTCGTTTCTGATTGGTTGAAACAAATTTGCCGCAACCTTTAAATGTCATGGCGAATCTATGTTTTTCGCCTTAGATGCCAATTTTGACATTTGAGGGGACCACAAAAGTTGCTTTGTTGTAGCAATTCGCCGATGCGGTTACCTGTTAGATCTACCTTGCAAGAGTCGAATTCTTGCACTACTTCCCGTGATGTGCTTTGGGAATCTTTGATGTTGAGGCTAACTTAATTCTTAAAGCTGCACTCCATTTTAACCTCCTTCCTTCATTTTCTTTTTATTTTTTACTGGTTTCACTCTAAACTTGCTCTTAAATTATTTGAAATATTATAAAAAGGTACTTTTAGGGAAGACAACATAAACAAATTTGTTGTTGCATTCATTTAGGGCGAATTCTTCATTACAACAATTTGTTTTGACATTTAATGGTGCCGTCAGCTGGGCTGATGCGATTACCTAGTACATCTACCTTGCAGCAATCAAAACTAAAGCTATTGCTTTTTTCGTGTGCTGAATTTGTTGCTTCATTGGTTTTCCGGCTATCTGTTCTTGATTTATCAGGTATGTCACACTACGAATTTAGTTTAAATATGGCAACATTATATATTCAATATGGAAACATTAGGAGAATGAAAGAACGAATGAATGAAGAATTAAAACAAGTCACATGATTAGGAACATTGTAGAAGTGCAAATATTCAGTTTTAAAGAGTTTTTTGTGCAAAAATACATTCAATGGATTCCACAATTTCACTGAGCACTTATTTTTTGAAAGGACCACCACCAGTTTTTTTTTTTCATTTTTCTTTCTATTGTTTTTTCAACGTATACTGTCCAATCTGACCAAGTCTTTTTCCACCCATTGCAATCTTTGGTGGGTGGTCCGAGGAATTTTTTTTTTCGGTAAGCTGTGACCAACTGGTTTCGGCAATCACTCGATCACCTTTGACATAAGCACTCGCTAGATCCTGGTGGCTCTCCATAAAATCTATGACAGTTGTCTCTAGTGCCGAATTCCTGTGCCTGCCCGTAAAATGTTAATTAATGATTAATTGATTAAAAAGCTTTCCACAACCCACATTTCACATATTTTAATATGATTACAAATTTGTAAAAAAAAAATTTTTTGGTGTTCTTTTTTGTTTTGTTTTTCTCTTTGCTTCAGTTTATTATTCGTAATACCACATTGTTTGGTTTTCACAAACGAATAATTTTTGTTTGAAGAAAAAAAGATTTTCAAGAAAAAAATTATACGGCAACACTTTGTTAACAATTGACTTCGTCAATTGAGAAACCATTAAAATTTGCTAATTATTTTAAATAAATATAAAATAAATAAAAATATATAAAAAAAATGTAAATTTAATTGTGTATTTGTCATTAATTCAACATTGTTATTACATAAAAGTGTTTTGAAAGTGTTTTAAAGGCACACGTTTACATAAAAATACAATTTCAATTGTAAAAACAAAAGTGGTTTTAAATCGAAAAAACTTTACGTTTTACGATCTCTGAAAAAGCTAAATACGAAATTGAAATCACCTTCGTACCGAATTCGCTCGTGTGACATGCCTGTATATTTAGTATATAGAATCGGCGAGCGGTTTGCTACAGATAAAGTAATAGCTTTAGATCGTTATAAGTGGTCCCTGGTACGCGTGTCTTTAGACATTTTTGTAGGTTTTTGTTGTTTAAATTCGTGATTAGTCGTGTTACCTAATTGGAAATTTTTGTTTTAGACTTATTGGTAATGGTTTCATTCAGTATATCCTTCCTATTTCTTCTACAAATGAGATTGTAGACACTCTCTTGTGTTACGCAAGCCCTTCTCAATATATTTTCTACACTTTTCCTCCCTAGGTTGGTGCATTGTGTTCATTTTGGTGAGAATTTTCCTGTAAAAATTATTCGTGATGGAATTCAAGCGTGATAGTGTGATTTCTTTATATTTGGCTGGAAAACCACAAGTGGCTATCGTTAGAGCACTCCACCATTTAAATGTGAATAAATCCTTTGTGTCTCGTACCATCGCTCGTTACCGTGATACTGGTAGCGTAGCCCAACGTCGAGGAAATGGACGGAAGAAAACAGCAACATCAGCAGAAAAAGATCGAAAAGTAAAGAAGCGACTTGATCGAAACCAGCGTCGCAGTGGCCGAAAAATGGCTCGTGAGCTGAACATATGGCAATATTCCATTTGGCAAATATTGAAAAATGAGCTCGGGGAAAAGTCATTGAAATTGCAACTTACACCGCAACAGAGAGAAAATAGACTCAAAAGGGCTAAAGGGTTGCTTCGCTTGCCCGGAAGTGGTGAAAACAATCGCTGTCCAGCAGTTTGTAAGAAAACAAAATGATCGTGTTTACTTGCCAAAGAGGTTAGTTGAAAATGCTAACCTTCGATTGACCACCAGAACTCAAGCACCGGCCATGGTGTGGTGTGGGCCGCTATAACAGCCGATGGTCGCTCTCCGCTCGTATTAATCGACCGTGGCATCAGAATAAATGCCTAATATCATCGCTAAAATATTCTGGTGGGTGTATTAAAGCCTTGTACACGCAAACAGTCCTTGGACATTCCAAGAGGACTCAGCACGCGCCACCCAAGAATGGTTACCAAATGAGGTTCCTCACTTCATTTCCAGCGCACAATGGCCACCAAAATCTCAGGATACCAATTCGATGGAAAGCAAGGTTGGCACTAAAAAATACCAAAATGTCGATCACCTCAAGCAAGCGCTTCGCCGGGAATGTTCCAAAATACAGCAGAGCAACATTCGGGCAGCGTGTGATGGTTTTATGGGCCGTTTGAAGGCCATAATTCGTGCCAAAGGTGACCAATTCGAACAAAGCTAAAGATATTCTAAAATTTGATGCTATTTCCGACATTTTTTGCTTTCATTCTTTGTTGCAGTTGTTTTTTATTTCATCCTGTTTTATGTAGTTTTACCTATGTGTGTTTTATATTGTGTTTCATTAAGTGACTTCTGATATGAATTTGCGAATTCTTTCGTGTGCACCATAGCGCCATCTACACACAAAACAATAATTCTAACAATTATTCCATGTGTATTTTGGTTTGTGTACCTGCTAACTTTAAAATGTGAATTTGGTATCACTTTCATAATGTCATTGACGGTGATGAACCAGACACCCGGATATGTTGTGTACAGATATGCCTAAATAAGTTAATTCAATAACCTATTTAACGAACAAAAAAATTGTCAAAAAATTGGGACAAATATTTGATGCTCTAGAGTTTCCACATGTCCCATGTAAAATGATTTATATTTTGCAATTCGATGAAAAAAATGGAAAAATGTTCCAACTCAAAAAGACTTGTGACAAGTTCTTGTTCCATTAAAAAGTCAAATAGAAAGTTTTGTTAATACCGTAAACAAACAAGTTTATGAAACAGAGAAGTGGGTTTTTTTATGAAAGAAGGAAGCTAGGCTGTTTAACAACTTGTACATATCAGTCCGCAAAACAGGAAATTTAAGAGAACAATTAATTTTTTTGTACTCTACGATTTTTCTTCAATTGTGTTTAAACAAGTCATTATGGAAAATATTATATATATACTTTGAATACCCTCCACCATTTGTAACGAATTAGAACATTCTCAAAAAAAAAATAAATAAATAAAATCCATTAAAAATTCTGTTAAAATCTTTAAAATACCTATATATATACGATATTGTGGACCAATATAGACGAATCTATGTCTAGGGGTAAAGTACTCACAAAGAACTCCTTGTGTAGAATTTCAGACAATTCCGTTGAAAAATGTTGCTAAAATCATCAAAATACCGAATATGGGGTGTACCGTTATATGGGGGATAAACGATATTGTTGACCTATATACACAATTCTCTTTCAGGGGGTAAAGTACTCACAAAGAACTCCTTGTGTAGAATTCCGTTGAAATATGTGGCTAAAATCATCAAAATACCGAATAATGGGGGGTATCGTTGTATGGGGGATAAACGATATCGTGGACCTATATAGACAATTCTCCTTCAGGGTGTAAAGTACTCACAAGAAAGTCATAGGCTGTAGTATCCATCATGAACTGTAAATATGTTATTTGAACCAATTTCGGTGAATAATGACGCTAAAAACATCAAAATACCGAATATTGGGAGATACCGTTATATTGGGGCTATACGAAGACGTGGACCTGCAGAGACAATTTTCTGTCATAAGCTGTAGTATCCATTACGAACTTCAAATACCAAATTTGAAACAATCCCGGTGAATAATGTCGCTAAAATCATCAAAATACCGAATATCGGGAGGTACCGTTATATGGGGGCTATACGAAGACGTGGACTTGCACAAATAATTTTCTCTCTAAGGCTGTAGTATCCATTTCGAATTTCAAATACCAAATTTGAAACAATTCCGGTGAATAATGTCGCTAAAATCATAAAAATACCGAATATCGGGAGGTACCGTTATATGGGGGCTATATAAAAACGTGGACCTACATGGCCCATTTACGAACTTAACTTAAAAATAAACATGTGTGCAAAATTTTAGCCTTCTATCTCAATTCGTTCGATAGATAGCGTGATTACAACAGACAGATGTTCTAAATCGATTTAGAATTTTACGCTGATCTAGAATATATATACCTTGTTGGGTCTGACATGAGTATTTCGAGGAGTTACAAACGGAATGACAAAGTTAATATACCCTCTATAGTATGGTGGAGGGTATAAAAATGGATGGATATTGAAAAATTGTTTGTCCAATGAGACAGAAGGATTACTTATTCAGTTGGAAAATGCTTCTGAAACATCGACAACTGGTTTTCTCAACAGTTTTGAATTTTTTGCGGAAAAAAAACACCTAAATACCTAAACGAGTACCGATATATACAATTTTCAATACAAAATCATACTAGAAATTAAAACAATATTTGGATATACAGGGAGAGGTAAAAAAAACTGCAAAAAGTCAAAATTTTTATTTTAAATTTTATTGAATGAAAGCAAAAAATGTCGGAAATGGCATCAAATTTTAGAATAAGTTAAGATTTGTTCGAATGGTCACCTTGGTCCCGAATTATGGCCTTCAAACGGCCAATGAAACCGTCACACGCTGCCCGAGTGTTGCTCTGCGGTATTTTGGCCCATTCCGACGGAGTGCTTGCTTAAGGCGATCGACATTTTGGTATTTTCTAGAGGCAACCCTGCTTTCCAAAATACTCCAGACACAATAGTCCAACGGATTGGTATCGGGAGATTTTGGTGGCTATTGTGCGCTGGAAATGAACCTCATTTTGTAACTATTCTTGGGTGGGGCGTACTGAGTGCGATGGTGCTAAGTCCTGTTGGAATGTCCAAGGTCTGCAGCCAAAATGTTTGCATGCCCAATGCTTTAATACACCCTCCAGAATATTTTCGCGATAATATTCCGCATTTATTCTGATGCCATAGTCGATTAATAGGAGCGGAGATCGACCATCGGAGAAAACCAAATTCGGCAGTTCACCACTGTCGGCCAAGTGAAGCAACTCTTTAGCTCTTTAGAGTCTGTTTTCTTTCTGCTGCGGTGTAAGTTTTTGCACTTTTTGGAATTTCAATGCACTTTTGGAATTTCTTTTTCCCCAAAAAATAAACTATTAAGGGAGATTTTGACGTAGAATGGAAACGTATTAAACAGTTTCACATTATTTTCCCTTGTAATATAACAGTTTTGAAATTAGTATTCTTTAAGACCATTAAGCCCAGATATTTAGTTTATTGTAATATTTATATTAAAATTTTGTGTAGAATATATTGTGGCTAAAAATATTTTTTTACGGAGTGCATATTACGGCCGTGAAGTACAAATATAACATATCGGATGACTCCATTTGGTCCTAAGTATCAAATTCCATTCCATTTAGGCTAAAATTACACGTTTAGAGCACAATAAAGGCAAATCGGACGAAGATATATATGGGAGCTATATCCAAATCTGAACCGATCTTGATCAAAATTAGCAAAGGTATCTAGTTGCAGAGTTCATATTACGGCTGCGGGCGAAAAAAATACATATCAAATGAACAATATATATGAGAGCTATAGCTATATCTGAACCGATTTCGATCAAATTTGGTATACTTTTTTCAGTACTAATTTGGTCGCATGTGCGAAATTCCATACTATTTGGACTGATATTACACGTTTGGTGCACAATGAAACGCAAATCGGACGATTATCTCCAATTTGAAAAGGGTTCGTCCTTGGGTCAAACAAATAATTTGTGCAAACTTTCATCCGGATCGGGCAACAAATGCGACCTGTATAGTAGAATTTTATGGAAAATAATTTTGTGGAATATTTTGACCTGCTACGATTCCACTCGAAAGGGAGTTTAAAACGCACATTTTTGAAAAATGTGATAAAAGAACACTTTGGTTATTTGCTTGAGAGTTAAATAAATCTTACATTGCTATCAGTAATATTGTTAAGGAATTTTAATCCGGAATTATTAACAAAAACGTGAAGGAGGGGGGAAATCGCTCCCTCTCTATAGGTTATTTTACGATGCAAACAGATGCACGAAAGATGGCACTGCTTTAATAAACAACTGGATTTTTTCTGTTATTATTTTTTGTGTTGCCAGTGAAATCATTGCTCTTCTAGAATATTTGATCAAAAATTGAATGCTTAAGAGTGACGGATTTTGTAGGAAATTTATTTTATGTATATTGTTTTTAAAAGAACAGTCTTAGATTTTAGCCCACGAAAGACTTGGCCTGAGAGTTTTCAGTCGAAAAATAACGTTTTTAAAGTATTCACTGTCTTTTGCACTTAATAAAATAAATAGACAACACCATTTGGTCGCCTATTGCTAGTATTTATACGTTTATTTATGTTCAAGAGGTGAAATATATGTTTTGTATGTATCGAATCACAGAAATGTGTATTTTTTCTTCAGCGAAAACAGCTACGAAGTTATATAATTTATATTATAATTCAAACAAATTGTATTATTTACAAATCACATTTTATTAAGTTTCTTTTGTTTACTAATTCGGCTACAACTAACAGTTCAATTTGCGCACCGATCAATCAAAATTAAATCTACGCTTTCCATCAAATCGATAACCGTAGGCAGCAGCATTTTTCGTATCCACCAATGCTGGGTTTCGATGTTTGAAAAAACTGCCGTGTGCATGAGCTGGCCGGGAAGCTCCATTGGGAACGCCATCTACTTCGCGAGGATAGAAGGCTTCAAACATGCCCTCAGGTGGCAGCACAGAGGCAATTTTCTTGTCATTCGGATCGTAGGCATTTGTTGATGACGCCAAAAAGTGCAGCACACATATTAATAGAATGAATTGCGAAAAACTTGTTAAGGGCAACATCTGATTGGCCTCGTTTGAAACTGAACTGGATTACTTAATATGTAAACTTCTTTCTCTGGTAAGCGCAAGCACTACTTTGCTGGATGTAAAAACGTGTTACTTGGCTCCGTGGCGTCTACAGATTTAACTTGTTTGCCGTTGTCTGTCTGATAATCGACTAACTTACTGTTAACTTTTGGAGCTATCTTGGCTCAGTTTACCACATTCAACAATTCGAGTGCGGTTTTGGGCTTGGCGCATTTGACTCTGTGAATTGTGAATTGTTGTTTGGTTGGTGGCGTTCCCGCTGTTGTTTTGGGTAGTTAAGTTATATTCATTTGTAGCACAACATCAAAGACATTTATTTTATTTGCTAATTACTTTTGCCATTACGTCGTTTTCTCATTTTCTTGAGTAGAGACTGAAGGCTCTGTTATTGCTCTTTTGGAACAAAGTCAACAAAACAAAAGACTTGAGGAACGAACATGGTTTGGTAAAAAAAACATAAACAACGTGTTATAAGACGATATTTTTTTTTAAAGAATAAAAACTTATCTAAATGTTTTAAAATATATAGATATAGTTTTTTATGTTAATTATATAATAAATAAACAATTAAAACATCGTTTAGCTGGACCAAAATTGCAATACCCTCAACTAAGAGTTAAAAAAAACTTTTAAGATAATAGTATTCAATATTCGAATAGGTTTTATTTTAAGCTGCAAATGTCCCATAATAAGGAGCTATACATATAGGGTGAACCTTTACCTCTTAAAAATGTGGCTGAAATAATTAACAAGTAAAACCAGTAAAGAAAATCTTAAAGTCGGGAGGACCCGACTTTATGACAGCCCACACCACTTTGCATTCCCATTTGGTGCACAATTAACTTGAAATCGGATAAAGATATATATGGGAGCTATATCCAAATCTGAGCCGGTCTCGATAAAATTTGGCAAAAAACAATTATAACAAATCGGATGAACAACAAACTTGACATACTAGCTTCTTCTAGACTCAATTCGGTCTGAAGTGCCAAATTCCATCCCATTTGGTGCACAATAAAAGACAAATCGGATGAAGTTATATATGGGAGTTATATCCGAAACTGACCCGATCTCGATAAAATTTAGCAAAGGTATTTCTTAACACTATTAGATATATTTCACCAAATATTGTTTTAGAGTACATATTACGGCTGCGGATAAAAAAATAAATCGGATGAACAATATATATGGGAGCTATAGCTATATTTGAACCGATTTTGATCAAATTTGGCATACTTATTTTCAGGCCTAATTTGGTTGTAGTGCCAAATGCCATCCCATTTGGGCTAATATTACATGTTGGTGCACAACAAAAGGCAGATCAGACGAAGATATATATGGGTGCTGTATCTAAATTATGAACGATTATCTCTAATTTCAATAGGGTTCGTCCTAGGGTCAAATAAATTTCATCTGGATCGGGCAATAACTGCTACTTGTACTTTGTTTACAAAAATGCAGATCATCAAAAGGAACTATCGTTTCCTTTTGCCTGTTACAAACAAATGCACAAAGACCTTATACCCTGACCACCTTGTGGTGTAGGGTATACAAATTAAGTTCGGCGGGCCTTACTATTAATACCATCCGCCTTTGGGCAAAGAAAACATTTTTATATTAAAGTATCTGAATACAAACGTGTTCCAATTTTAACTACAAACATCAGTAAGACCGTTTGGATAATGCTGTTAAACTTTTACAAAAAAAAACAAAAAAAACATAAAGTGATTGAGGCCGTTGTATGGGCGGCATATTAAAACGTGATCCTCCATAGATACTTCAAGGATTGTCATCTACCAAATCTTCTTTAATACCGAATTTAAAACAATTTCGTGGGTAAATATGACTAGGATTATCAAAATACCGAATGTCGGTGGGTATCGTAATATGTGCGCTATAGGAGAACGTGGGCATAAATGTTGTTGTTCAAAATGTTCAAACGATGGAGCTAGAACCAATGTTGAACGACAAATACCAATTTTTAGACAAATCCGTGCAAAAATGTGGCAAAAATTGTTGATAATATCTGGAGGTACCGTTATATGGCGGTGATTCCAAAACGTGTACCGACATATCTCATTTTAAATACCAACCATCCTAGACACAATGCAAATTGACAGACAGACATTGTTAGATGGACTTAAAATTTTATGTACTTTTTAGGGCAAACACAATATTTGATTTCAACGAAGCATATTTGCACACACACTGTGCGCTACACATAACCAATTATACAAACTTAAAGTGACTATTGTCTGCGTTTTACTAATGGTGTCGTGTGTCGAATGGGACGGAGTCAATGCACCTATATGTCCAGCTATACTTAATTTTGTTCGAATTTAATGGTCAATTCAAACAAAATTAAGTATGGACGGACATAAAATGTGCACGAAACTTCTAAAATAGTACCATTTATTATGTGATAGAGCTAAAACCTTGAAATTTGGTATGAGAATCAAGATTGGAAAGTATGTTTGATATATGAAAATTACATTGTAAATGTGTAATAAGTATGCGAACTGTACTAAATGATACTTAATTTGGAACATTTTGGAACGGAAGAAACTGAAATTTTGTTTTCCATTTTATAAAGATGTGGTTTTTAGAATTGTGTGCTACAAGTTACAGAAAATATTAACTGGTACTATATTTGTTAGAATTCGGTATTTCGAATCTGAAATTTGGGATTAGGTAGCCAGGTTGCCGCATGGAGGTGGTTTCGGAATTTTGTACGGTTGTATTTTGTATTGGGTGAAGGAATATAGAGCTGAAATCCTAAAATTTGATATATAGATAGCTGGCGGTATCAGCATTTCAGATTTGGCAGTGGTTTTGAAATACGTCCTATATTTGTACGAAAAATACTAAATGGTACTATATTTGGCATTGGGTGAAGGGAAAGGACTGGAATCCTCAAATTTGATATTGAGATCTCTGTTGGTATCTGGAATTTAGATAAGGAGGAGGTTTTTGAAATGTATACTACAAGTGCACAGAAAGCATTAACTAGTACTATATTTGATATTTTAAATCTAAAACTTGGGATTAAGTAGCATTGCCGATTGGGGAAGATTTCGGAAATTTGTTCTATAATTGTAAAAAAAAAATACTGAATTGTACTATATTTTGTATTTAGCGAAGGAAAAGAGCTGAAATGGTGGTATTAGTGTTTGAGCTTTGGCATTGATTGAGAAATTCGTCCTATATTTGTACGGAAATTAATAAATGTTACTAAATTTTGTTATTAGTTTAGGAGATGGGACTGAAAATTCCTCACATTTGTTACTGAAGTCTCTGTTGGAATCTGGAATTGAGATATGGAAGATGAATAGTATTAAATTTGGTATTGGGTGAAGGAATATAACCGAAATCATGAAATTTGAAATAGATGTCACTGTTGGTGTCTCTGGTTAAGATATGGAGGTTGTTTCTGAAATGTGTACTATAATTGTTCGAAAAGTACTAAATGTTACTAAATTTGGCATTGAGTCAAATTGAAAATTAAAATTTAATATTATGTTACTGTTCATATCTGAGGTTGAGATATGCGGATTGTTTTGAAAATGTGTACTATAGCGGTTCAAAGAGTACTAAATACTACTAAATTATTCCTGAAATATTATATGGATATCACTGTTGGTATCTGTAGTAGGAAGAATGAGCTGATTTTGGAAATTCGTACTATAATTGTACTAGATGTTTCTAAATTTTGCAATGGGGGGAACTTGCAGAGCTGAAATTTCATTTAAAGGACACTGTTGGTATCTAAGGTTGAGATACTATATGGGGTCTACGACGAATATTTAGGGACGTTACAAACGAAATGATAAAGTTTATATACCCTCCCTTTCCAGGTGGAGGGTATAAAAAGTTAATATTTCGAGACACGATTATTTGGGGGCTATAGAAAAACGTGGATCTATATAGATAATGCCCGGTCACATGTGGTAAAGTCTCTTACGAACTCTAAATATTAATTTTGTTGATTTTGAAACAACTGCGTTACAAAATTAGGTCGTCAAAATGTCGAATACCGGTAGGTATAGTTAAATGGGTTTGCAACATGATGTTATGTTTATTCCTTTTTTTATTCATTTTATTTTTTTTTTTTATTATTTAAACAATAATCTTGAAAACTGAATGAAAAGTTAATATATCTTTTCAAAATCATTTTTCGTGAATTTCGTAGTTCAAATTCATGATAAGTCGGTGTATATAGTTACATTAGGGCTCCGACTTACGTCACTTTTTAGAAACTCCCGCATGCGTCGTTGAATTTCGAGTTGGGTCTCATTTTTAAAACTAAAAAATCCGATTAGCAGCGTTGTATTTTAAGTTATGTAGATCTGTTTTGCCAAGTTTACAACGTTTAACAGCATTGCTCGTCACCTGCACCTTTAAAAGGGAAATTCAATTTTCTTTGTTATTATGTGTATTAGTGGTGGTAAATACACTTGTCTTGTTTGAGGCAAGAATTTAATGTGTGATTCTCCCACGTAAATAGTGAGTCAAAGAAGTTTTAGATCGGGAGAAAAGGTTGTTAGTATAGGAAGAGCTTTTGGATCAGCACCTAAAACAGTAAAAACTATTTGTCCCACCACTCCAATCTGAACAATAACAATAACAACAAATCCCTTATTGATTAAGATGGAGTCCTTCTCTCAATTTGGATAAATTATTAAAAAAGGCGAATAATGCCACCAAGCAAGGAAGTTACTGAAAATAAAGCTCTTTCTGTTTGCTCTGACCTTAAGAAATATAATGAATTTACTTTCCCTCAATGAAATGCATTTCAGCGTATTTGTGTAGAGAAGGGTAACTAGAGTTGCGTAGTTTTTTTCGGCCAATTAATGACGCATGTCGGGACCCTAATGTTCTAACTTCTGCTTTAGGCTTATTTTTAAGTATTTAGTTCAGAGTATCTTTCATATTTCTTCTACAATTTGCATTGTTGACCTTATTTTGTGTTATGGAAGCCCTTTTCGGTATAATTTCAGCATTTTTACACCCAACGTTGCTGCATTCTGTTTGGAAAACTCCTCCCTATTTTAATCGCTACAATGAAAATTTACGATTAAAGTTCTTGTAAAACGGTAAAAGGCAAAAGCGTACAAAAGGTACATTTTTTCGACGAATTTCTGGAAAAATAACTGAAAAACGTGATTTATGTAAAGTATTTTATGACGCCTGAAAATTGCAGGAGTTTTCGTCCTTGTTGTAATTTAGTTTCTAATTTATATACATTTATATTTCTTTCCATTGTTTTTATTGTCCTAGGTAAGTAAGATAAAGCTACCAGATGGTTGCATTTTTTCTGAGTGTATTTTATTGTTATGTAAATACTTGGTCTGTTCTAGAATTTGCAAGAACGCAAAATTTTTACTACGATAACCGATATTGGAAAAAAAATCCAAAATAGTAGATTCTTACAGTTTCTTGAACAGAGCAATTGTTTTGAAAATTAAAAACAAA